CCATCCTCGTACCGACCGATCTGCTTACTTTCGGCTCTCGGAAAAGTATATGAGAAGCTTCTAATGAATCGCTTACGACACCACTTAGAAAGAGGCCAATATCTACACCCCAAGCAATATGGATTTCGAACAGGGTCATCAACACTGCATGCACTCCACGATATACATTCAGCTATACACGATAATCGCAACCACGGCTATCATACTGCTCTAATCAGTATAGACCTGAAAAGTGCATTTGATATGCTGTGGTGGCCCTCAATTTTAGAAGCACTCAGAACAGTTCAATGTCCACGCAATATTTTCCTTACTTTGCGACATTACCTAACGGACCGTTGCCTTCTAATAGTGCACGACAGTGGGATTATCAAGCGTACCCAAACCAGAGGATGTCCACAGGGGTCCTGTGCAGGCCCCCATTTGTGGAACGCAACCTTCAACTCAGTCCTAAAATTCACACTGCCAACGCATTCCTCCATATTCGCATATGCAGACGATGTTGCTCTACTTGTCCGAGGACGTACTAGAGCAGAATTGGAGGCCAACTCAAACGAAGTTTGCAATCTATTCTACCAGCAATGCAACAGACAAAAACTCCAAGTAGCAGAGCACAAATGTCAAATTCTACTAATCGCAAAGAAGGGAGGATCACTGACTAGAAGACCGACAATCCGCATCAACAATCGTCGAATTAAAATTGTCCGTGTCCTGAGATACCTCGGTCTATACATAGATGAAAAACTGACATGGATGCCGCACATACTTAATTTAAGGAAGCGTACAGCAATCATAGCACAGCATTTCAGAATGCAACGCGGATTTCATTGGGGGATTAATTCTCACATACAAAAAGCGTTATATCTTACTGTCGTCGAGAAGATGGTGTCCTATGGAGCGGCCATTTGGGCCTTCCCTATGCAGGGAAGGAAAATCCGGCACCTGTCTGCACTACAGAGGCCCTTCCTACTCTCAATTACAAGAGCCTTCAGGACAACATCTACTGATGATGCACTAAACATCTTGGCAGGAGTGCTACCACTTCATCTACGCATAGAAGAAGAAGCGGTGACACAACAGGTTCATCAGTTAAGACTTTCACTTACTTATGATTACGTTACCTTCTCTCAAGAACAGTTTGAGAATAAGACCTCACAACTTCATATACACCCAGCAATCAAGGGTATTGGAATTCACCTCACGAAGAACCCAGCATATGTGGCACCATCCGGCTACATCTCCATCTACACAGATGGTTCTCGTATTGACGAAAAGGTAGGCAGCGCCTTTGTCGTGCTCAGTGAACAACAACAACCCCTTCACCAATGGCAGATGCAGCTCAGCACTGAAAACAGCGTTTTCCAGAGTGAAGCACTCGCCATTCACGAGGCCATACGCTATCTAACGAATAATAAAATCTCCAAAGCCTTAATACATACAGATAGCCTGTCTTCTATGCAAGCAATTGCCAATTCAGAACATACCTCCCGCAAATAGCAGGCATTCAAAAAAGTCTACGTGAAAATGCTCACAATCATTACGTCATAAAATGGATTAAAGCGCACACAGGTATTTATGGCAATGAACTTGCAGACGGCCTGGCAAAAGACGCCGCCACTGGGAACAACATTACTACAGTACAGATCCCATGGCCTACCTCATATCTAAAAAAGACCTTACGGCAAATTGTTTGCAATAAATGGCAGCAGGAGTGGACGAACAGCTTAACCGGCAGAAGAACTTTTTACTTCAAGCCAAAAGTAGATTTACAAAGACTTATCGCCAGTCCCCTCTTGGTACGTTACATATCCGGTCATGGCCCCTTCCCACAGTACTATCATCGACACGCTATCACCAGCACTGACGAATGCATCTGTGGCGAAGAGGGCACAGCAGACCATTACATCACTGCATGTCCCCTTACAGAGGACCACCATATTGCCATTCCTATAACGGATAGGCAGGCCTTCTGCAGGTTCCTCGTTAAGCATAAGCCAACAATACGCCAAATCACTGCCGTCATGTCAAAGCTAATGACACTTGGCACAGAATTGTGTCAAACTGCTTAATGTAACTTATGGTGTCAAGCAGCATAGTGACTACTACATAGGAATCACAAATTTATGCATGTACTATGCCTATTTTTCACATCAGACTATTTATATACAGACTGCAACCCAATCTGCAGATTACCTTTCCTTGTGCAATTAGTAATGTTACAATATTTCAACATAGTGACTTTTCTGCATGTATATTACATGCAAATTAATATAACCTGCATTATATAATAATGTGTGTAGTATGTGAAATGCAGGTTTGTAATATGCACTATGTAAAACTTGGCACAGAATTGTAAGAAACTGCTTAATGTATCCTTCAGCAATAAACTGTATATGTAAACTTATGCATATAGTATGCCTGTAATCATATTGACTATTATATTTATTCAATTCTCAGTAATTGTAAACTGTACTATTTAATGTGTGTAATATGTACCATGCTAATATTATTATAATATGTACCATGCTAATATACTAAGTAATTGTAAACTGTAAATGCGTGTAATATGTACCATGCTAATATTCTAAGTAATTGTAATCTGTAAATGTGTGTAATATGTGTACCATGTCTCAGTAATTGTGTGTAATATGTACCATGCTAACACTCTCAGCACTTAAACTTAAGCACTATGCAATCTCTCACTAAATGTTTAATGTACTATGAAATGTGTGTTATATGTACCATGCAAGTATCAATTAATATTATTAACTATTAATGAACTTCTTAGTAAATATAATCAGTCTTATGTAATGTATGTACTATCTATCATGCAAGTCTGTAAATAATAATGAATGCATAATGTTAACCTAAGTACCTAATTAAGTATGATTACGTAAATATGAACTCAACGGATGGATGCAACGTACCTTAAACATAAGTTATATTCAATTTCCAGGTAAACGCAATATATAGTATGTAATGTGTAAAATATATACCATGCAATATGAATGTTTATGTATCATACAAGCCTGGATTTGCAAGTCTGAACGTATTAAGTACTTTAAAGACAAGTATTCATCAATCACTCAATAAATGTAAACTGTACTATAATAAGCAAGTAATATGCACCATGCAAGTATTAATTAATATCATAAACTATTAATTAATTTCTTAGTAAATGTAATCAATATTATGTAATGTGTGTACTATGTACCATGCAAGTCTGTAAACAATAATGAATGCATAATTATGTTTAATTAATATTAAAATATTGAACCTTGCGGATGCAACGTACCTTAAACATAAGTAAAAACAATTTCTGAGTAAATGCAATATATAGTATGTAACGTGTGAGAATATGTACCATGCAATATGAATGTATATGCATCAAGCAAGTTTGAATAGGGTATAGAACATATAATAGTCATGCAAGTCAGAATATGGTAATAGGTAAATGCAATTCTGCAAGTCTGAACATAACGAAATTAAGTACTATTAAATTTCTCAGTAATTGTAATCTGTACTATTTAATGTGTGCAACATGTACCATGTTAATATTATTGTAATATGTAACATGCTAATTTTCTCAGCAATTGTATTTTTTTTTTTTTTTGTTTTTTTTTTAACTGTAAATTGTAAATGTGTGTAATATGTACCATGCAAATATACCCCATGTCTCAGTAAAATGTACCATGCAAATATACCCCATGTCTCAGTAATTGTGTGTAATATGTACCATGTCAATATTCACAGTACTATTTAATGTGTATAATATGTACCATTCTAATTAATTAGCATGCACTATTTAATGTGTGTAATATGTACTATGCAAACTGTAAATAATAATTAATGCGTAAAGCCAACCTATGTGCGAACCTAAGAACCCAACTATACATACTTATAGTAAGAATTGAATCAAACAGGTGTAAAGTACCTTAAACATAAATATTAAGTACCCTAAACAAAGTATTAATCAATCTGTCAGTAAATGTAAACTGCACTATGAAATGAATATGTATGATATGTACCATGCAAGTATTAATTAATATTATTAATTAATAATTAAATTCTTAGAAATGTAATTTGTATTATGTAATGCGTGAACTATGTACAATGCAAGTCTTCTCAGTAAATATAAGCTGTACTATGTAATGTGTATATAATATGCACCATGCAAACCTGTAAACAATAATGAATGCGTAGTGTTAAACTATGTGTGTTAACCTAAATACCTAAGATGTAAAGTACCTTTAACATAAGTATTAATCAATCTCTCTGTGTGTAATATGTACCATGCAAGTCTGTAAATAATAATGAATGCATAGAGTTAACCTAAGTATCTAATCATGTATAATTAACGTAAATATTGAACCTTATGGATGCAAAGAACCTTAAACATAAGTCATATTCAATTTCCCAGTAAATGTAATGTGTAATATGAAATGTGTGAAATATGTACCATGCAATATGAATGTAAATGCACCATGCAAGTATGAATAAGCAAGTCCGAATATGGTACGACATGTGTAATAGTCGTGCAAGTCAGAGTATGGCAATATGTACCATGCAAGTCTGAATGGGTAGCGATAACCTAAGTACCTAATTATGTCATTCTAGATAAGGGCGGGCGTGATGAATAGAGTTAACCTAAGTATAATGAATGCATAGAGTTAACCTAAGTATCTAATCATGTATAATTAACGTAAATATTGAACCTTACGGATGCAAAGAACCTTAAACATAAGTCATATTCAATTTCCCAGTAAATGTGTAATATGAAATGTGTGAAATATGTACCATGCAATATGAATGTAAATGCACCATGCAAGTATGAATAAGCAAGTCCGAATATGGTACGGCATGTATAATAGTCGTGCAAGTCAGAGTATGGCAATATGTACCATGCAAGTCTGAATGGGTAGCAATAACCTAAGTGCCTAATTATGTCATTCTAGATAAGGGCGGGCGTGGTGCTCATACCAATTAACCGTAACGGTAGAGGGATGGTGCCCACGTCCTCCGTCACTCACTCACTCTACGACAATGTAAGGCCACATGTGGTTCGAAAGGCCAGAGACACCATCCAGCTACTGGGCTGGGAGACACTACCCCCATCCACCATACTCCCCAGACCTCACACCAACAGATTACTACCTTTTCCATTTCCTGGGCAACCATCTTCGTGGGAAATCCTTCAACAACTGGACAGACCTCAAAAAGGCCTCACAGACTTCTCTGCCTCTAAGACTCCTGAGTTTTACTGCAATTGCATCACACAGCTAGCCACTTGTTGGCAAAAGGCAGTGGATGCGGATGGTGATTACTTTGAGAATTAGTGATGATTATTATTTGTTTTGTGACTTTTTCTTTTTGACTGTCCAAATCAGCAAGAACCTTTTTAGTTACCTTGTATAAAAAGGGAAGAATTTTCTTTTTAACTGAAATTTATTATAAATGTTATTGCTAGTCTACATATGTGCAAATGCTCAGCATTAACTTAGAACTTAAATAGAGAATCTGTAATGCTTATCTTGTTAAGTGTGGAAAAAATATTATGTTTAAAAATTAAAAACCGTCACATAAAATTATAAATAAATAATTAAAACTACTGAAATAAAGACAAGAACTTATTATAAAAGAACATTTTTATTTATACATTTTTATTTTGAATGTATACACCAACAATGCTGGTGTTTCACTCAGTGCTCTAAAAGTTATGTAATTCAATGAAACATCTTCTCCAAATTTATTTTTGGCTCTAAAATTGCAACTAACTTTGATTAAAAGACATACTGGATTAAAGTAGGCACAGGTATGACCAAGAATTCAAGTTGATTCAAATTTGATTCATATTGCATACATGCAATATTTTAAAATATATTTGCATCATTATTTTTTTGCATCATTATGCATAGTATATTATTCTTCTCAAGGTCATGATTTAAAAATTATTAAGCAAATGGAGAAATAAGTTATATGAATTAAAAATGCTTTTATTAATTCATACAACTTCAATAATATTTTTAATTTATCCCTTAACTGTAATGGAATAAACTATTGAATATATTAATATTCAGTGAAAACAGTTCAATATGCACTCTGACATTACAATTTGAATGAACCTTGAGGAAAATAACACTTATCAATGATCAACTTCAGATTGTTCTTAATTAACTGACACCCCCAAAATTACTGAAGTCAAAACTGCCATTCATTTCACACCAGCGCATGAAGCTGAAATATTAGTTAAAAAATAAAAAATACAAAAAAAAAAAAAAAAAGCTGTAACATTAGTAACTGTATATTTGTGATTAATATTAGAATTAAATGCAACTATACAAAATTACAAAAACTTCCAATTTTCAGTTTATTTATGGAAAAGGAATGATTGAAAAAATTATCACACATTTTGTTGCAGAAAATAAGAAGAGAACACGATGAAAATCATTATCAAAAACAAAAATCCTTATTTGTGATTCTGATATTTTAGAAACTTCATTTTCAGCAAAAGCTTTTTGCATTTAAATTTGAAAAAAAAAAAAAAAAAAAATAAAAATAAACAAACTAAGAACACAAGCATATATATATATATAGTAATATGCGACAAAAGACTTTCTACTCATAATTATGTAATATTTTAAGTTAATTAATTTTTCAATTAAGTGGTTTTTCTAAATTTAAGAAAAATGGTCAAATATTCAATCTCTTTCAACTTGAATTCTTAGTAAGTTGAATCGAATTTTTAATAAATACTACACTAGCATAACAATAGAAACACACTGGAGGAATATTTTCAAGGAAATAAAATTTTAAAGTTCATAATCTAGTTTAAATTTCTGATAACTACATTTAACAATGATAAATATAGTGCATACAATTTACTTTTTTATCTATGTAAATTAAAATCAATATGAGAAAAATCAACTTATTTACTTTTATTACAAAAACAATGATATAAATTTACTACAGTAATATTTTAATTACTTATTTAAATTAAAAATTAAACTGAATTAGTTTTGTATATCAATTCAAATGATTTTAATGCTCACTTAAGAAAGTTACATTATGAAAGATCAAAACTTCGTATTAAAAAAAAAAAAAAAAAAAAAAAAATCTGATTTAGTAAGCTGTTTCACAGTAACAATTTTAATTTGATACTGCAATCATTTTGAGAAAAACAAGACTGCATAATATAATATATTACTTTGCACTATTGCAATTAAATATATTTTCTGCTTAAAACTGAAAAACCTTCCATATATATACATATATGTAATATTTTTAAAAAATGACATTTGAGATGCAAATTCCAGCTTCAAGTATATATATATACATAAATTTCTATGTTATGCAAAATTGCCCAATATTTTAAAGATTTTACAGTAATTATGTTGTTTATTTTATATTCTAAATCAGCAAAATATTTTACAATTAATTTTTCTCACAAATATATATATATATTTACTTGTAATCATTTGTGTTTGTTTACGACTTCTTAAATTTCTATATACATATATACTTGCAAACCACTTTTTAAATTTAGTTAGTTAGTTAAGACTAAAATTTATAACAAGTTTCATATATATTTTAAAAAAAATTAAAAAAAAAAAAAGAGAGAGAGAGAGAGAAAGAAAGAAACAGAAAAACAAAGTTTTTTAGATTTTCAGTCCCCCCCCCTTAATGCCAATTCTCAGAATGTTCTTAATTTCTATATTTAATTATTATAAATTGTATTTCATGAATGTTTTACAAAATGATTATATTTTATACAACACACTTCTAGTTCTATAATTTAAAATTTTAATATGAATAATTAAAAAACACTACCTATTAATCAGCTTAAGACTGGATAACTACTTTTACAGTAAAATTTTAACTATTTCAAATTTTCATGATGTCACATATTTGATAAATTATTGTATATCACTTTTTCACATCCATCTGATTTTTCAGGTCGGTATGCCAGATATTGAAAAGTACAGACATCTTCATTTCAGTGCTTCTGATTAAATACAGTAAACTGCAATTAAAATTATCATACACAGTCATGGTGACTTTTGAAACAACATGTTGCAATTTAGTTTCAAGTACTTGTAACTGAAAAAACACAGGAGCATATGAATTGGTTTTTGATTTCTCCAACTTCAGCAAAGTAAAATTTCAGCTTTCTATACTATGTTTATATTATTTTTTATATAATCCCTTAACATTATAAATGCTTTATATATATATATAAAATATTTAAAGAAACCAGCTAATAAAGGTTTGTTTGCAAGTTTACATATGAAAATTTTTGCATGCAAAAATATAAAAGAAAATTTTTATTTTTAAATAATTATACTATAACTTCAATGAAACAATTTAATGATAAGTTCTATCAAATTTACAGCCTACTCCAAATTCAATGCAAATGATAATCTATATAACAAAAATGTGAATATTATTCTTAATATTAATATCAGGTTTACAAGCTTCATAAAAATAAAAGAACTTCTGCAACTGGTTCAAACTAAAGAACAACATTATTTTACATATTTAAATTTTAAATTATATAAAGTATTCATATTTCTCTCTCTCTCTTAATAACCCTAACATCAGAAAAAGTAACACATGAACTACTTTGTATATTAAAAAATTTTCTTCCTAGCTGAGATACATTAATAAGAATTAGAAGCATCTTTCATTAATTATACTAAGAGTGTAAATAACATAGCATGATGTTAAAAATGGTAAAACTACAGATATTTCTAATGACAAAAAATTCTGTACCCTATTACATAACAGCTTTGTTAATAACTAAATCCTTTTATTTTTATAACATTAAAGAGTTTAGAAATGATTGTTTTATTATTATAAAGAATTTTGTTTTGTTTTTATTTATGACACCCTAACAAACTATATTTTCACTGAACTAATGCAAATATAATTTATTTAAATAAAATTTAAATATATAATATATTTTTTAAAATTTGACATTATATCAAACTAATAAATAAATTTCACACATCTCAAAATATTCATACTTGAAATTCTTTAATTCAGACATTAGATTATAAAACATGAATTTAGCAAAATCTAATTCAGAATGATGAAATTTTCAACTTAGTTATATACTAACATTTTCTAATAGTATAAAAATAATTTAGGATTAGCCCCCATATCAAAGGTATCTTAAAAAAACACAGCTGTCTTTATGAATAATAAAACATTTCAAATATTTTAAATTTAAAAATTTGTGAAACATTTATATTTTTTAATTTAAAAATCAGTGAAACTCAATAAAGAAACTGTCAAAAGAGTGCAAAAGCAGCACAGTATTCAAAGATGAAAAATTGTGCTTTCTTATTCTATAGTATATAGCCCCACACAATGCCAAAAAAAAAAAAAAAAAAAAAAAAAAAAAAAAAAAAAAAAAAAAAATGAAAATTTAGTTTTTATAAAATCAAAAAAGGAAGCTTATAGTGACAAATATTTTGAATAAATAATTTTGTTATATGAGCATATAAATTGCATGAATGAAATTAAGTAACAATTAGATAAAATTCAAAAATTTCAATCCAAGCTAAAAAATCACACTTTATAATTCCTCACAGATATCAATAAGTTACTACTACTGTTTCTTAAAAAATGAGACTGGCCTCCAACCTATATTTCTTTGACTAGACCTAATAAAAATTTCCCAACTATCACGTAAGCTAGTAATTTTTGTCTTTAAGTATGCTTTCTCAAATACATAGATGTTCATTAAAACCAAAAGATATTCATTTGATATGCTTATAAAAATGATACAAAATAACTACTCTTTTTGCTAAAAGAAAGTTTTCAAAAAATACATGCACAACAGATTATCAAAACTATATTAACCAATATATTTTTAAGAAGCTAGGTCCCAATATTACAAATTAAAACAGTAAATAAAGCACAGTCTTACAGCATACATATTCATACTTCATATATGATGTAAAAATATTTTTAATGTGATTATTACAATGCAAGCAGAAGTGTTTTTCAGTTTCAAAAAAATGTATTAAACTTATTATATGCCAACATTTTAATTTAATCCAATTTTCTAAATAAATTCTCCCATAAACAGCAAATACCAGCAAGAACTGTTATGCAGCAGAAATAAAAAATAAGAAAACAATTACACTCAGAAAAAAAGGCGGGGAAAGAATTATTTATGCTTTCCATTAGTAATATATATAATTATTTTCACTGATTTACCGCACAGTCACATCCTTTAACTTGAAAAGAATCTGAACAGTTGAAAAATTCTTTAATTTGAAATTAAAAAGATCTTTTAATTTGGAGGCAAAAACTGAATATTTGTACACTTGAAAAAAATTACTACAGAATTAATTAACACAAGTACCATTAAATAATTACACAGGAAAATTTCCAATCATATTTTTATCAATAACCCTCTGATCTAAACATAACTTTTAATTTGTGACTAGCTCTAATCTACTGAAGTCTCACTCCAAAAACAAACTACTAGCAGTTAACCGATTATTAATATTCATTAAGAAATTAGATGCATGCCCATAACATATGTTTCTCAACATTTTTTAATGAGTATCAAAATATTTAACAATATGCCACCAAAAGCATTGCATTGGCATATCAGAATTCAGTTAATGTATTGTAAATACATCTATGTACAAAAGAACATATTTAAAAAAAATAAAATAGAAATAATTCTTTGACTGGTACTAGTGTCAGTATCAATCATAATTTCTGCCTTATAGGGAGAAATTAGTTCAAACAGAAAACACAAACATGCAGTGACTGCCAGAGAGATATACCAGTTCATCCAAAAAAAAAAAAAAAAAAAAAAAAAAAAAAAAAAAAAACTTAAGAAATATATATCATCCTTCTATAACCACATTTTTTAATATCAATGATTTCATTTTATTTAATATATAAATAAAAATTTATATATAAGTATATAAAATAAAAATTACTAAACTGGATTTTACAACTCAAATGTGCTTAAAGAAGAAAAAATAATAAAACTCATATTTTTAAAAAGCCTATTAAAGATCAACAATTAATGACAATGCATCTAAAAAATGTTTTAAAAAATAATGTGTGAATGTCAGACTGGAAAAAGATAAAAATATTATATATATGCACATCATAAGAATAATAACAAATGCAATTAACTTCTGAAAAATTCTTATGGGGAAAAAATATTAAGTTTTCTAACCAAGCATAATCTTATTTTGATCCATTACTTTTAAAAAGAAGACTATTTCATCAAACTATTAATTTTTAATTCCTTTCCTATAAAAATCATAAAAACAGGATTAACATAAACAGAATTTTAAAATGAATAAAAATTAATTATGCAAATCCAAGAATAAATCTTGATTTGGCACAAAAGTATACAACTTAAGCACACTGTCTCCCACATGCACTACTAATCAAATATGTCCGGAGTAATTAAAAAACAGTACTGTACAATGCACTTTATAATGTCAATAGATGTTTTCTTTTCACATTGTTATCATTTAAAGTTAAATGACCAGTCACATATCAACCATAATGATACATTATTTTTAAAGACACAAGACTGATTTTCAGAGTCTGTAGTACTGTGTTTCTTTGAAAACTGACATGTCCATAAAATCTACCTTCACTTAAAAAGATATTAAGGCGCTCTACCAAGTGGTAGGTAAGGTAGATTATTTCTTTTATTAGAATATTACTGGCAAACAGCTCTTGTATGACTCCAGTATAAGTCAACTCCAGTATAGTTTTCCAACTGCTTTTTTTCACACAATTAATCTTTATATTATAAAAACTAAAGTTTTTCACAATTTTGATAACATTCTTGAACTAGCTGCTTACACTAGCTTTATCAAGGACACTTCCTATATATTCTGCAAGATTTACAGTTTCTCGTTCTGATCGAAGGACAAATGGATGCTCCTATAAAGAAAAAGAAGAAAAAAAAAAAAAAAAAAAAAAAAAAAACATTTGAATATAACTGATTAAAGCAAATGACTTTTTCATGATGACAGATAATATTGAACTATTTAATGATGTTATATTCCTTTACTATTTTATGCAATATTATAAATTTCTACAATTAATAATAAAAAGCATATACATATGGCATATTGAACCCATCAACTTCTCTGTAATAATAATACATATAATAATAAATATTTATTATAACATGCTACCCACTGTAACACATTAATTAATTCACAATTAATTCAACATTAATTGAGACATTAATTCAACATTTCTGGCAAACATTAATTCAAAAGGCTTTTAAGGACCATTCAATAAGTCTTCAGTTTATTCAATAGTCCATGAAATGCATACATAGTAATAAGGAGGGGACCATTATACCCTTTCCTTCTATAAATAAGTTTACATGTATGTGCAAGAATTTATGTACAAGCTTATTAGATAATACACGTAATTCAAATTTTATTACTATAGCAATGCTTACATAACAAATGCCTTAACACAATGAGTCTTGCAGAATGGCTATGCATACTGACTGGAAAGCGTCCTTGGTAACAAACCACACCCAAATAACATATTATTGTTTAAACATGAAATAAATTATTTTAGTTTTTACTCAGACAGTGCATAGATGCATTTGTGTATAGTCAAAGATATCAGCAATTTAAGTAATTAAACATAATTTTTAATGTTATGTTGCTACCAAAAAATATCAAGTCTTGTTTGAAAAGAAATGTGAGGAAGCCCAGAGGAAAATTTCTTATGGTGAGGAGAAATATAACACAAAAGCTACATGCCTGCTGTAATCGCCAGGGGTATTTAATGAAGAAGGAAAAGATCTAGTACAGTCAACAATTTCAAGAAAAGTAAGCAGCTAACTATTTTAGACATCCTCTTGAAAACAGGATTTCGCACAAAAGAAATGTAAGATGTTAATTTAGGAGTCAAACAAGAAAAATCAGTGTTATATTTGCTAATTTTCACAGGACTAGTCTTGATGGCTTTACTGAACCATCATCATCAGCTGCCAAAGAGCAAATGAACCAGATAAGGTAAAAATGGTTGGACAGGAGTTAAGCTACTGGTGACATCCACTGATGAAACAAGAAAATTAAAACATAAATTCCTTAAAGAAGAAGGTAAAGATGGACTGGAATTAGGGTCGTCAACAAGAACAGAGAGATTTTTTGAATGTGAAAAGACTCTAAAAAATCTAGTTCACCAACGGATGCTGTTTTTGAAAAATTTTGGCTGCAGAAAAATGAAATGTGTGATTTTCAGACCAATAGTGCTGGATAACAGAGGACTTCTGTGTTTCCTTTTTCCTAACATACGCTTCAAGTTCTTTAATGCGAAATTTTAAGGCTCTCTTGTTTTGACCAATGTAAATTAAATAACACTGGCAAGGAATCCTGTAAATGCCCCCAGAAATTCATATCCAGAATGGAGTCCTTAAGTATAAAACTCTGAATTTCTTGATAGGCGAATAAACGAAAAACATGCAATTTTATAGCTAATTGATAGAAAGAAAAGAATGACAACAGAATTCTTATAATCTCCTAAAACAAGAGTGTGCTTTTTGGTGTGTTGAGACAATAATTTTTTAACTGCTTGGTTAATAATGCTCGGTGAAAATCCCTAATAAATAGCTACTGCTTTTAAATAATTTAGTTCTTGATCAAGAGCCAGTTTAGAGGAACAAACCTGAAGTGCACGGAAAAACAAAGGAATAAAATAAAGCTAACTTTTGTTTAATCGGATGACACGATTTGAAAAGTGGTGCAAGGCAAACCAATGAAGGTTTAACAGTAAATGACAGTTGGTTGTGTTATGTGTAACCAAAAAAACGTGTCGTGGAACGGAAGAGAATTGCATGTTTCAATTTCAAACGTGAACTGAATAGCAGGATCAATATAATTCATTACTGAAAAAACTTTATTTAAGTCATCTTTATCATCAAACAGGGTAAAAGGTATCGTCTACGTAGCAAAAAGATACCAGGAAATTTAAAGTTTCAAATAATTTTGATTCATAATAATGCATGTATATATCAGCCAGGATGGAACTAAGAGGGCTTCCCATGACTAATCTCTCAATTTGCTTGTAATACTTATTTTGGAAAACAAAATGTGTTTGGTTCAAACACAGTTGTGTAAGGGAAATGAGCTTATCGATGTTGATGCAGGAGAAATGAAATTCACGCAAAGTCTGGTTTCTAGACATCTTAATGCACCCTCCACTGGAACATTGGTGAATAATGATTTTACATCAAGAGTAATTTCTAGGAACTGATTTGAGTAAATTTCTAGGAGAAATGTTTTAAACCTTTTTTACAAACTCTATTGAATTTTTTATGATGTAAATGTTATTGTCTAATAGAGTTGAAAATCTGGAAACTAAATATTTAGCTAACGGATATGAGGCAGTACCTAAATTTGATACAATAAGGCGGAAAAAAATACCACTTTTATGAATTTTGGGAAGAGCATATAATTCTGGCACAATTCGTAACATAGAATAAGCAATTGTTTTAAGTTGGTCAAAAGGATTTGTGAAGATTTGATCACACATTTTATTTTTGAGAGGTCCTTAGGGATTGGATTATACTGGCCTTCATTTAAGAGTTTAGTGACACCATTGATGTAAGTGTTCTTGTCCATGACAACTATCTGGCCACCTTTATCGGCCTTTGAAATAATAATGCCTGGGTTAGAATGAATTCCGTGCATTGTAGTTCTTTCTCTCACATTGAGATTTGGTTTCAAAGGTGTTTTATTTTTATTTATTTATTTATTTATTTATTTTTTTCAATGACAGATTGTGAACAATTACAAATGTAACCCAGTCCATTAATCTATACAAGGCCAGATGTGGTGGTCTCTTTATTACGGATGCACCTAATAGGTTGTCCACCATCGCCTTTCCTATGAAGGGACGGACAGTTACAACCATGCCTTCTACGGGATTTGAACCCAGTCCCTTTGGCATTGCAGTCAGCTTCCCTGATCACTATACCGACTGGGTGGCAGGCTTATTGTTGAATCTCAAATTATAGGCCATAAGATGCCTAATCATTTCTTTGTGTATATCTGACACTTTACTGAATTTAAAAGCTTTTTCAATAAGAGCCAAAATCTTTGGAATTGTGGGTTTTGAGGTTTGTGAGAAGTGAAAATCATATTTCAGAATTCTCTCTTGTTACTTCTGATATACTAACACTAGAAATAATAACTATTGTCTTAATATTTACGATGGGAGGATTTTTTGAACTACTTAAATTAGAACTATTTAAATTTCAGTAAAGTGCAGATACACAGAAAGAAATGATTAGGCATCTTATCACACATAATGCGAAATTCAGCAATAGCAATAAGCCTTTGAAACCAAATCTAAACATGAGAGAAAGAGCTAAAACGTGCGAAATTCATTCTAACCTTGACATTATTATTTCAAAGGCCGACAAAGGTCGCCAAATAGTCATCATGGACAAGAATACTTACATCGATGGTGTCACTAAACTCTTAAACAAAAGACCATATAATCTAATCCCTAAACACCCTTCACCTTCGGACCTCTCAAAAATAAAAACTGCGATCAAACTGTCACAAATCCTTTAGACCAACTTAAAACAGTTGCTTATCCCATCTGCTGTGAATTATGCGAGATTATATGCTTTTCTCAAAATTCATAAAAGTAGTATTCTTTTCTTTCTCTGTTTGAAATAAACACATTTTGTTTTCCAAAATAAGTATTACAAGCAAACTGAAGGATTAGCCACGAGAAGCCCTCTTAGTCCCCATCCTGGCAGATATCTATCTACATGCATTAATATGAATCAAAATTATTTGAAACTCTAAACTTCCCTGTATGTTTCCACTACATAGATGATACTTTTACCCTGTTTGATGGTAATAAAGATGATTTAAATAAAGTTCTTTCAGTAACGAATTCTGTTGATAATGTTATTCAGCTCACTTCTGAACTTGAGACTTGCAATTCTCTTCCATTCCTTGACATTTGATCACATGTAACAGATCCAACTTCAGTACTACCTTTTATCATAAACCTTCATTGCTTTGCCTTCCTCCACAATTCAAATCATGTCACCCAATTAAATAAAAGTTAGCTTCATTTTATTCCTTTGTTTTCTGTGCACTTCAAATTTGTTCCTTCAAATTGGCTCTTGATCAAAAACTAAATTATTTAAAAGCAGTAGCTATTGATAAGGACTTTTCAATGAGATAGTGTATGATATTCTTTGAAACATGGGTGTACGCTAAGTCCAAAGTTGCATTAGTCACAGGAATATAATATCTGCTGCTATTTTACTCAGCAAATTTGACTCATTTAACATTTGTATATGTTCTATGGGGTCAGATAGTGCTTTCGTTTTGACATTAGAAAAAAAAAAAAAAAAAAAAAAACCTTTCGCTAAGGGATACAAAATATTCATCTCAAGGCCGGAAAACTCAAAGAGTAATAAAAAAAAGTCTCTAATGGTAGAACATCTACTTCACTATAACTGATAAAAAAATTTTAAAAAAATTAAAAAATAATAAATTAAATTAAAAGTATTCCAGAGCATCGAGAACATGTTCATTTGTTTATATAAAATGACACAGTAAGAGCCATTACTTTACTCAACACTAAAGAATTAGGGATTGTGTATAATCTACGTATAGATACTGCTTTCCTTTGCCTTAAAAAAAAAAAAAAAAAAAAAAAAGATACGTTTCACTGATGATTAAAAATATTCATCTCAAAGCACGAAAAATCTAAGAATAATAATAATAATAATAATAATAAAAAGGGGGGGGGAATATAAGAGTAATAAAAAAAAAACTCTAATGATAGAACGTCTATCCCACTATATCGCAAAAATAAAAAGTACCTCAATGCAGTGAGAGCATGTGCATTTGTTTATATCAAATGACCCAGTTAAAGAGACATTA